TCCAGCCCTGCCGGATGTCTCGGCTCTGCTTCTGCACCAAGGGGCCTGGAGAGTTAGAGAACGAGGTGGGTTTCTATAGGCTCCCAAATGAGACAACCCCTGACCCACCTTCCAGGGCTGCCTGTAGTCTTGGCAACATGGTACTGAAATGGGTTCTGAGCTAAGGTCCCAAATCAGATTCTCAAGGTCACAGAATTATCTATGTGCCCCCTACCCCCAGCATGGCCCTTCAAGGCGGCATCCTGGGCCTCAAGTGACCCCAGCAGAGGTCCCGGGTGCCCAAGGCCGCCGTGCCAAACCAGACACAGCCTCAGAAGGAAGCAGACACCACGCATCTGGCACGAGGCCAGCTACCACCTGCCTGGCAACCCTCAGAAAGACTCATCTGCTCAGCAGAGTGGCTGTTGGCATTGCAAGTGCTAGCCGCCCTGGCAGGAGAAGTGCCTGGCGGTTGGAGGGAGACACAGGAGTCGTGGCTGAGGCAGCAGCTCGACTCCCACCTGCACTGTTCTTCCCAGAAAGGACAGCTTTTGGATGCTGGAGCTTTAATTAAACACCCAATTTGTGCCACTTTTAAATCTCTCTGAACAGGCTCCTTTTAACTCACAGTGAATTGAACAGCAGCCCCTAAAATACATACTGGCTGAGGATTCATGCACATACTGAACTGGAAATTGGGTCTGGCAAGATACAATCAAGTTAAGCATCTCAAGCTAAGATGGCCCCTGGATTATGTCAGTAGACCCCACACCCAATGACAAAGGTGCTTATTTGAGACACACAGAAGCAGGCCATGCAACAAGAGGCACGGATTGGAGTGATGTAGCCACAAGCCAAGGATGCCTGGAGCCCCCTAGAAGCTGCAAGAGGCAGGAAGGACCCTCCCCTCCAGCCTCTGGGGGAGGGATCACGGCTCTGTCAACACCCTGACTTCAGACTCTTGGCCTCTAAATTGTGGGAGAATAAATCCATGATTTTAAGCCCCTCTTTGTGGTACTCTGTTATGGCCACCCCCCAGAAACTCATAAAGAGCCTAAGCCTCATGTATCTGCTATATTTTTACTTCTCTTTTTCTTTTTTTGACTGTACCACGTGGCATACAGGATCATACTTCCCAGACCAGGGATCAAACCCAGGCCCCCTACATTGGGAGCCCAGAGTCTTAACCACTAGACAACCAGGGAAGACCCCTGCTGTGTTTTCACCAAAAAAAAAAAACGGAAAGCAATAGGGCAGGAGTGGGGTTGTGGGGCTGCTGGACAATGGGAGTAAAGTGGAAGTGTTAGTCACTTAGTTGTGTCCAACTCTTTGCCACCCCATGGACTGTAGCCCGCCAGGCTCCCCTGATTTTAAGCCCCTCTTTGTGGTACTCTGTTATGGCCACCCCCCAGAAACTCATAAAGAGCCTAAGCCTCATGTATCTGCTATATTTTTACTTCTTTTACTTTTTTTGACTGTACCACGTGGCATACAGGATCATACTTCCCAGATCAGGGATCAAACCCAGGCCCCCTACATTGGGAGCCCAGAGTCTTAACCACTAGACAACCAGGGAAGACCCCTGCTGTGTTTTCACCAAAAAAAAAAAACGGAAAGCAATAGGGCAGGAGTGGGGTTGTGGGGCTGCTGGACAATGGGAGTAAAGTGGAAGTGTTAGTCACTTAGTTGTGTCCAACTCTTTGCCACCCCATGGACTGTAGCCCGCCAGGCTCCCCTGTCCATGGAATTCTCGAGGCAAGAATACTGGAGAGGGCAGCCATTCCCTTCTCCACAGGATCTTCAGATTCTTTACTGTTTGAGCCACCAAGAGGATGGGTGGGATCTATAAAAACACAGGAGGAGCTGCTGGATCAACAGGCCTGTGTATACAGTGGGGACTCAGAAGTATACTTCCAGCCAGGAAGAACGTGATGTTTTCTACTTCCAAGAGGAAAGCAGCCCGCAGAGTCCAGGGTGGGAGGAGGCCACACTGGGTCCATCCACCCCTTCCCTTTTCTCTCCCTAGAAGCAAGGTCAGAACAGTGAGAGGTCCCAGGGTCTGGCCAGGGAAGGGGCCCCAGAACCATCACAGGCATGACGCCCTCGACCTGCAGCCCCCACCTCCAGAGACAGGACAGGAAGGCACGAGCCCACCCTCTCGCTTCCCTCGCTCACTGCCGACGTGGGATCAGCCTGCCCACGGCTCTACCTGCTGTTGCTGGTCACAGCAGCATGTGCCCCTCAGCCACTAAAACGGACTATGAACTCGAGCCGCGGAACAAATCCAAAACCAGGGTGAAGGTTCTGGTCCTTTCTCTTCTGTGTTAACATTTTTCTCTGCCCAGGGAAGGCAGCTGCCTGCAGGCTACCCACCTGAAATCACCACTACTGTGCTGTGGTATTAAGTGTTAATTGCTAAGTTGCGTCTGACACTTTTTGACCCTTTGGACTGTAGCCTGTGAGTGATAGTCGCTCAACTGTGTACAACTCTTTGTGACCCCATGGACTATAGCCTGCTAGGCTCCTCTGTTCATAGGATTCTCCAGGCAAGAATACTGGAGGGGGTTTCCATTTCCTTCTTCAGGAGATCATTCCCACCCAGGGATCAAATCCGGGTCTCCTTCTTCAGGAGATCATTCCCACTCAGGGATCAAATCTGGGTCTCCTGCATTGCAGGCAGACTCTATACCATCTGGGCTACCAGGGAAGCCTGTGGGGACCTGGCAAAAAGCAGTTTGAGAACCAGAGCCCTGAAGCCCAGACATCTAGCTTGCAGACATCTAGCCAGGACAACCCTGGGAGTGGTGGAAGGTCCCTGGGCAGGGATCCACACTGCATCCCACCACAAGCAGAACCTGGGAGCTTGGCACCACGTGATCACTAACAGGATTGTTCTCACTGTGCAGATGAGGCTGAGAATGTCTGAGGGGCATGGCTGGCCCCTGAGCCGTTTCTCCAAGACCCGGGCACCGGGTCAGCACCCCTCCACCGGCAGCCTCTCCACCCCGCACAAGTGCATGTTCTGTCTCCCCAAGTGTGTGTGGGCCAGCCAGACCCCACCTTCTCCTGCCATTTCCAAGCTCTCTTCCCACAGTCAGCTGTGTGGGTAACCCCACCTGTGGCATCTCCAGCTGTACAACATCCATCAAAATTCAGAACATTTTCCCCACTCGGCACAGCTGTGTAGTCAGGGGACACCTGCTGGAACTGTGCAAGGCATGGCCACTTCCAGGCTCTGCTCACCCCCAGCCCATCCTGCCCCATGCCCTGCCCCTCTGTGCTCCAGCGGTGCTCACATGTTGGGTGGGGAGCAAAATGCCTGCAGGAGACCCCACGGAGCCTCCCATAGCCCTTACAAGAGCTCGGCAGCCTAGCCAAAGCAAGCATGCACAGACTTATGGACTCTGGACAAGGAAGCACTAAATGGCCAAGGGGAGAAAGTGTACAGTGAGCTAAGGAAAACCTCTGGAAATTGTTCTCATATGGGCTGAACGTGTGTCCCAACTGGGACCTTAAATAAGGACCGTGTGAGTGCTCGCACGGCTGAAACAGAGTTCATTATTCTGAGAGTCGATTCCTAGGCAGGTTGATAAGAAGTCTGGGGGTCCCCAAGGAGAGAGGGGTCTGGAATTCTCAAGGAAGAGGAAAGGACAAACCTTTTTTCCCTTCTACATTCCTTAGGATTATACAACAATAATGTATCCTGCTTGAGGACAGTTTCTGGAAAAAAACTGTTCTGTAAAAAAACTTAGTTCTAAAAAAAAAATTAGTTCTGGCTAATCCTGTTATCTAAAAATGTAAATTATGGGAGTGAGTCTAGTAAGGTCTTTACAACCTCCAGACATTCTTTTGATTCACCGTAATAACTAATTAGAAGTATATAACTCCATTGCTAATGCTAGTGAGGGAGCACTCTTTCTGCCCCCTTCTATGTCTATGTCAGAAGCTTTCTCTATCTCTTTTATACTTTAATAAAACTTTATTACACAAAAGCTCTGAGTGATCAAGCCTTGTCTCTGGCCCCGGGTTGAATTCTTCTCCTCCAGGGGACAAGAATCCTGGCGTCTTTCGTGGTTCAGCAACAACCTTTCAATTTTCTCAGCTCTGGAGGCTGAAGTACACCATCAGGTGGGCTTGGTTTGGTGGAGCATGTTTTGAGAGCCACCCTCTCTGCTTTCTCCCCCTCCTCAGCTTTTTCCACCCGCCCAAGACTACCTGAGGAGGAGGAAATGATGAGGGCAAAGGACACAGGTAAGGAAGTGATCCAGGCCTGATGGAGGCCCTGGCCTCCCTTAGATGCCCCAGGCACACTTGGCTGCCCACTGGCCCTATTACCTCCCTGTCTGGTCTTTCTGCAGAGAGGACTAAGAAAAGCACCCTAGGCATTGGGGCCACCTCACTCAGCAGCCAGCACCTCCGAGGCACCTCCCAGGGATGGTCACCCTTATCGGGTCCTTGGAGTCAGGCACTGTGCCCATTCCACAGATGAGGCAACTGAGCACTAGAGAGCTCAAGGTGGAAGGTAGCCTCTTCAAGTCCCCAGCTTAAGAATGAGCCTCCAGGGGAGTGTGAATAAAGAGTAACAAAAGAGCCTGGCTTACTTCCAGTTCTACAGGGTTAAGTCTAAGCCACAGCAGTGGCCCATCTGAGGAATTCAGGATAAAAAAAACTGGGGCAGGTACTCAGTGCTTTGCGTAAACAGATGTCAGATGCAAATCTAGAAAGAATTTCAATGACTCCAAATTCCTGCATCTTTTCATACTTAGAATAACATGAAAATCAATAATTTAAGATATCTCTTCTTATTAGCAGTAATCTTTTATCCAGAAGTAAGCTTGAATGCAAGTATTTCCCAGTTCCCAAAACCTCATGTACAAACTGGCCTCTCCCTGACCTCTCTGGAGCAGTGCCCTGAGAGGCTGTCTCCGGGGCTACAGTCCTCAGTAAGTCCATGACTAAAACTCACAACTCCCTTGCTGTGTGTTTTTCTTTAAGTAGGAAAGAGGAAGTGCAGGAATGGATTAAGTCAGAGACAGGTGTTACCCCCACCCTGGGGATACAGAAGGGGGATGGCACCCCCAACGTCTGTCCCTGAAGACCACAGGTAAGGATGCTGGATAGAGAGGAGACCTCAGGTAAGAACCAAGGTTCAGCCCTTCAGAGGCCCTTCCCAAGGCGGGTGGTCTGGAGGAGCATCCCATCAAGTAATCGGCAAAGGACATGTTGGTCTGCAAGTTTAGGTCAGTACCTAGAAATCAAGGAACAGATGATCAGAGGAACAACTTGCCCAGGGAAAGAGAAAGAAGGAGTGGCCTCAGGGAGAGACAGAGGCCCAGGGAAGCAGCAGGGTCTACACACCTCTGCACACTTCTGCCAAGGGCGGCTCCCTCCAGGCAGGGTGCAGGCGGACCATATCTGGTAGGGAACTGCCTGGTTCCACCTTCTGGGGCCGCCCCTGCTTCAGGGATCCTGCACTTTCACCCCAGCACTGTCCCACCACAGAGGCCCTGCTCAAGCAATCAGTGACCAAGAGCTGGGGCCCCAGGACCGGTCCCGGAGTGTACCCTGGCTGCCCCCACGGTTTGCACCCCCGCTGGTGGGAACAGGAGGGCCAAGGACCTCACATTATCTTCATGGGTGCTCACAGATCACAGGCAGCCGGCCAGGCAGGTCAGTTGGACTGGAACCCTTGTACCATTCCACCTTCAAGCCTTTGTTCCACTGCCTCCTCCTCGGGAGACGGGCAGGCCAGCCTCAGGTCGGCCCTCAAGCTTTACTGAAGGATTCCAACCCTTCCCACGGCCCCTCCGGCCAGCTGGCACCTACAGGCCATTGTGACTGGGTGGCCCTTTATGATCTTGAGGGTCCAGCACAGGGCCCTCATGTACAGCCTGCACAGCAGGGGCCAGACACTAGCTCCAGGTTCGAGGATCGGACCCAGGGACAATGGGCCAAAGATGCATGGTCCAAGAGAGCCACCAGCCTGAACGCACAGCCTCCTGCTTAGCCCACAGGGCAAGGAAGTGATGGTGAGCCCAAGGCTGACACCCCATTGCACCCAGGCCTCATCCTGACCCTCCAAGGGGCCACCCAACCACAACCTCGGGGCTGAGACAGGAAGCAGCGAGTATCACTGATGAACCACAGAGAGACCGTGAGCCCCTCCAGAAGCACAGGTAGGGGAAGCGGGAAGCCCGTGGGCACCCCAGTAGGGAAAGGCTGACACATGTAGGAAGCGGCTTCTAGAGCCAGACCCTGCACTGCCTGAACTGCCCTCTGGGCTTTACTTCTCCGGAACCAACACCGGCAGATAGGCCCCCTCCGTCCCATCCCCTCCAGGCGACCGCCTCCCAACGAGCAGTCGCAGGGTGGAGCCTCCGGACCCGCAGGGGGCGGGGACCGGAAGGGGACCGGTCGCCCACCAGGTGAGCAGTGCAGAGACCTGCTTGCTCAGCGCCCACCTTCGCTGGGTCTCCGGCCGCTGCTCCGCCTTTTCCCTTCCCCAGGGTCGGGCCGGTGGGAAAGGGCGGGGGCTGGCGGGTGCTCACAGCACGCTCCCGGGGGCTTCATTCTAACCGAGCGTCCCCTCGTCTGGAACCCCGCGCTCCAGATCATCCGGGCTGCCGGGCCAAGGTCACGCGGCCCGGCAGCGGCCACCCCTTCGCTGGCCCGCACGGCCGGGCGCGGGGACACCGCCGGGTTACGTAAGCGTACCTGCAGCGGGAACGTGGCCGCCCGGTTGCCCACGTAGCCGCGGACGACGTGGCTTTGAATGGAGAGCACCCGGCACTCCTCCTCCATGCCGGGCCTGCCGCGGCGGCGCGGGACCGGGGGGGGCTCAGCGTCTCCGCCGCGCGCTCCGCTCGGCTTCGGCCACGCTCTGGCTCCGCTCCGCCGCGGCCCGGATCGGCGCAGGCGCTCGGCTCGGACGACAGACCGCCTCCCTCTGACCTCAGCGCGGCTGGGAACCCGCGGGTCCCGCGCTGCGCCGGGGCGGGACGGGGGCGGGGCATTCGCCTGTCCCCGCCCACTCCCGCCCCTCCCGGGCAAATTGTCTACCGCAACCCAGACCCGGGCAACCCACCCACATCTCTGCGCTACCGGCACGTGGGCGGCCACCCTCCAAAACATCGGCTTGCACTTTCAGTTTTACCCGGTGGGGCGCTGCAGGCTGCGCCGGCCTTCCTTCATTCATCGGTTCCTCGAGTCCTTCATTCACTCCACACAGGTCCGCCCCCTGGCCTGCACCACACCTCTAACGCCGGGGCCGCACACTGCCTGCGAGGCAGGACCTCGAGCCCGACCGACAAGGGCCCCAGCGGAGGAAGCGCAAGGGCGAGGCGCCCCGGAAGTGGGTGCGGACAGGGATGTCTGCAAGTGGGCTGCTGGGCATAGAGTTACCGGGACTACCTTCCCCAGGTCCCGGGGGAGCGCGGTGCCTGGCCCCAACTCCAGGCCCTGCAAGGCCCAGAACTCGCATGCGGTCCACCGCCCCTGCGGCCACCGCGGGGACCGGCGCTAGAACGCACGGGCCCTGAGACCCTCCGGCAGGACCAAGGATCCAGGCCCGCCTTGCTACCCGGGCGCCCCTACCTAGGGCATGCACTCTTGATCCACGGCCAAGTCACCCTGCAGAGGCCTGGGGGGCGGACGCCTCCACCACCATGAGAACTTTGGGGACCCAAGGACTCAGTTCCCCCACCTTGGACACATGACTGGCCTCCTCAGGGTGTGCTGGACCGAGCCACGTGGCCAGTGCCCACCCCACCCACCCTGGGCAATGTTCCCCATCAGAACCTATTGGCAGGGGCAAACCCATGTGGTGGGGGGGCCTAGTCTGTTACCCAAGGCAAGTAAGATCGTGTGTGCCACACACAGGGAGGTCAAAGAAACCTATCCTAGTTTGGAGCAGAGCAAGTTTTACTGCTGGGCGGAGTCAGAACAGAGTGGTGGTGGTTTAATCGCTAAGTCCTGTGTGACTCTTGCAACCCCATGGACTATAGCCCGCCAGGTTCCTCTGTTCATGGAATTTTCCAGGCAAGAATACTGGAGAGGGTTGCCATTTCTGGTACCCAAAACCCTCAGCCCCTTCATGGTTTTGTCGACTAAAAAAGATGCACAACTTGAGAGTTGTGAGTGAAGTTTTATTCTGGACAAAATGAGGACTGCAGCCCAGGAGGCGGCACCTCAGATAGCTCTGAGAGACTGTTCCAAAGAGGCAGTGGGAGAAGGTCAGTGCGTAAGAGTTTGGTGGAGGAGTTCAATACAATTAAGTGCTTACTTTACAAGAGTTTTCCACTAATCAGGAGGAGCTGCTGTCACCATGAAGGGATTCAGTTCTTTCTAGATATGAGGAGATGCAAGGTATGGGATCACAAAATCTGTTCCTGAAAATATACAACTATCTAAAGACCTGTCCTACCAGGTTCGCTGGAGCAGAGGGTGCCTCACTCTCCACCCTGACCTCCCTCAGGGGGTGTTGAAGGTCGGCATCTACAGCAGCACTGGGTTCAGTCTCCACAGAATTCAGCTCAGTCATTCAGTCAGGTCCGACTCTTTGTGACCCCATGGATTGGAGCACAAATATTGTCACCCTGCTTATTTAACTTATATGAAGAGTACATCATGTGGAATGACAAGCTGGAATCAAGATTGTCAGGAGAAATACCAATAACCTCAGATATGCAGATGACACCACCCTTATGGCAGAGAACGAAGAGGAACTAAAGAGCCTTTTGATGAAAGTGAAAGAGGAGAGTGAAAAAGCTGGCCTCAAACTCAACATTCAGAAAACTAAGATCATGGCATCCGGTCCCATCACTTCATGGCAAATAGATGTGGAAACAATGGAAGCAGTGACAGACTTTACTTTTTTGGGCTCCAAAATCACTGCAGATGGTGACTGCAGCCATGAAATAAAACGATGTTTGCTCTTTGGAAGAAAAGCT